CAGTCTTCAGCAAAGCATTTGATTCAGTTACTCACTCACTCTTGTTGAGTAAACTGAATATTCTGGTTTTTCCTATAGACCTATCAACGTGGATCTACAGCTACTTAGATGGAAGGACACAAAGAGTATTAGTTAAAAACATACAGTCCCGCCTGAACCGTGTTACATCTGGCCTACCTCAAGGAAGTCATCTTGGCCCGTTATTATTCACGCTTTTTATAAACGACTTGCCCCTGCTTTAACGAACTCTCTAGTTCTTATGTATGCAGATGATGTAAAGCTTTGTCTTCAGTACAAATCCATCTCTGCCCAATGCAGTCTTCAGTCTGACCTTGATAACTTTCAAAAATGGTGTTTAGTTAATGATCTAATACTTAATGGATCAAAATGCAAGCATATGTCATTTTATCGTTCTTGCCCTCTGCAAGCTACGTATTCCATTAATGGGATTGCCTTAGAAAAATTAACCCAGGTTAATGATCTCGGCATCCTATTAGACATAAAACTTAAATTTTCCGACCATATTTCCTTAATGGTTAATAAGGCTAAAGGAGTCCTTGGTTTTATTAAAAGGTGGTCAAAAGAATTAAATGACCCCTATATAACTAAAACATTATTAAATTCTTTGGTCCGTCCTATACTGGAATACGGTTCATGTGTCTGGAGTAGAGGTGGGCACGGGCCGGGCTTTTTTCGTGGCCCGCGGGCTTACACAGGCCCGGAACGGTCCCGAATGGGCCTCTCAAAAAAGATTTTGTTTTCGTGCGGGCCCGGGCCTCAAAATACAGGACCGCGCCCACCTCTAGTCTGGAGTCCCCAATATGGAGTACATAAGGACCGCATAGAATCCGTACAAAAGAATTTCCTAACTTTTTCACTTAGAGGTTCGAACTACAATGGTCTCTACTCTATACCATCTCTTTCCTGTCCCTCAAATTTAAAACATAGATTTTTAAATTTCCTTACTAACTCCTCCTAGCTTAATAAATTACAAATAGCTTTATATATTCTAACAAATCGTTTCTTGAGCGCCCCTCGGTCGTCTGGGCCTCTAAGCTTTATGATGAATACAGGAATTCTAGCTGATGCTCGTATTGATGTACAAGCCATTTCCAAATTCTAAATGACCGGTAACAAAAAAAAAAAAAACAAGAAAGGAAAGCTAACTTCGGGCGGAGCCGAAGCTTATATACCCTTGCAGTTAAAACCGGATATATATCGCAAACATCGGATATAGTTGGCCAATCCTTATGGGAATAGGAATATATAATCCAATTTATTACAATACAAAATCTAAAAAAAAGTCCCAAACTTCTATCTTCAAAAATACGAAAGTTGATATTTCTACCAAATACCATTTTCGATCGTTCAGTTATATGGCAGCTATGGGATATAGTCGGCCGATCCTAATGAAATTTGGTAGGTTGGATCAACTGACTAAAAATAGAATCTGTATTAAATTCCAGCTTTCTAACTCTAAGAGATGTCGGAGATGTCTCCTTCACTGCGTTGCACACTTTTGACCAAATTACACACAAATTATAATACCCTCTGCAAGGGTATAAAAAGGAAAGCTTTTGGCCAGACGCAGACAGCCATAATTAGACGGCTTGCAGCGTGTGCTCGGAAAGCAATGAAGATAGGCTGGTTGAAGGTAGGCTAGGTGCGGTGCAGACTAGGTAAAGACTCATGGAGTGCTTCAGATGCCTCGAGTTTGGGCACATGGCGAAACAATGTTAGAGCGCCATCGACCGCTCACGAATGTGTAGGAGATGTGGCAAGGACAATATGGAGTACATAAGAACCGCATAGAATCCGTACAAAAGAATTTCCTAACTTTTTCACTTAGAGGTTCGAACTACAATGGTCTCTACTCTATACCATCTCTTTCCTGTCCCTCAAATTTAAAACATAGATTTTTAAATTTCCTTACTAACTCCTCCTAGCTTAATAAATTACAAATAGCTTTATATATTCTAACAAATCGTTTCTTGAGCGCCCCTCGGTCGTCTGGGCCTCTAAGCTTTATGATGAATACAGGAATTCTAGCTGATGCTCGTATTGATGTACAAGCCATTTCCAAATTCTAAATGACCGGTAACAAAAAAAAAAAAACAAGAAAGGAAAGCTAACTTCGGGCGGAGCCGAAGCTTATATACCCTTGCAGTTAAAACCGGATATATATCGCAAACATCGGATATAGTTGGCCAATCCTTATGGGAATAGGAATATATAATCCAATTTATTACAATACAAAATCTAAAAAAAGTCCCAAACTTCTATCTTCAAAAATACGAAAGTTGATATTTCTACCAAATACCATTTTCGATCGTTCAGTTATATGGCAGCTATGGGATATAGTCGGCCGATCCTAATGAAATTTGGTAGGTTGGATCAACTGACTAAAAATAGAATCTGTATTAAATTCCAGCTTTCTAACTCTAAGAGATGTCGGAGATGTCTCCTTCACTGCGTTGCACACTTTTGACCAAATTACACACAAATTATAATACCCTCTGCAAGGGTATAAAAAGGAAAGCTTTTGGCCAGACGCAGACAGCCATAATTAGACGGCTTGCAGCGTGTGCTCGGAAAGCAATGAAGATAGGCTGGTTGAAGGTAGGCTAGGTGCGGTGCAGACTAGGTAAAGACTCATGGAGTGCTTCAGATGCCTCGAGTTTGGGCACATGGCGAAACAATGTTAGAGCGCCATCGACCGCTCACGAATGTGTAGGAGATGTGGCAAGGACGGCCATATGGCAAAAGACTGCGCGGAAGAACCAAAGTGTGCGTTCTGCAGCAACGCCGGAAAGGAAGCGGGACACATAACAGGAAGTGGGAAATGTCTGATGTTCAGGAGCGCCCTCTCACAAAGGAACAGCTAATGAAGTGCACCCAGCTCAACCTTAACCCTTGCGAGGCTTAGTCGATGCTTAGGCAGGCGGTCAGAGACGAGCAGACACAGGTACTCCTCATCTCGGAACCATATAGGATTATCCCAGGAAACGGATGGCTGGCAAGCAGATGCAAGGGAGCTGCTCTGTGGTCAACGGAGAGGGCTCCCCTTGGGGAGCCTTATGTCTTGACATAAGGACATCCAGCGAAGGTTTTGTCCGGGCCAAAATAATTGGGGTTCCATTTTACAGCTGCTACGCCCCGCCAAGATGGGAAATCTTGCGCTACCTGAGGATGCTAGGAAGCTTGGTTGCTGATGCAAGAAGCAGATCGCCGGTAGTCATTGGATGGGACTTCAACGCCTGGTCCCTGGAGTGGAGAAGCCGAGCACCGAACGAGAGGGGCATCAGTCTCCTGGAACTCTTTGTGGCACTGGACGTGGTTTTGGCCAATAGAGGCCAAAAGCTGACATACAGCAAGGCAGGGCGTGGATCTATTATCGACATCACCTTCGTTAGCAGCGCACTAATAAGGAGGTGCAACTGGGAGGTCAGCGACACTTTTAATTTCAGCGACCACCAGGCAATACACTTCACATTTGGAGGGGTAAGTAGGAAACGGATTCTTAAGGTGACAGGACCGAAATGGAAGGACACGCGTTTCGATCGAGAAGCACTCTCGGTAACCCTGCAGACGCTGGACCGGACTTCATCATCCTCCCCGGAGGGACCAGCGGAGGAACTCTCAGGATCACTAGCACATGCTAGCGACAGTGCCATGCCTAGGAGGAAACTTAGCAGAAGAGGAGCATCAGTATACTGGTGGAACCAGGACATTCAGCAACTAAGGACCGCCTGCTGCGGGCAAGAAGACGCTTCCAAAGGGCAAGAGGCTCAAAGGACCTAACCACCCGAACGGAGGAGTTCAAGGCAGCTAAGAGGGCCTTGAAACTGGCAATAAAAGCAAGCAAACGTGAATGCTTTAAAAAAATCTGTGACGAGGCGGAGATGGACCCATGGGGCACAGCCTTAACACCTTAGACCAACATGCCCTACCCTATTAAGGAAAAAAGTGGAGGCTCTGTTCCCGAAGCACCCGGAGAGGGAGAGATACCAGCAGATGATGGGGAGCCGTTTACGCCAGTTACGGAGGAAAAGATCCGAGGCTACGCAAAAAAGATTAAGGCTGGAAAGACTCTAGGACCAGACGGAGTGCCAAATTCCGTCCTGAGGCAGGCCATGCAGGAGATACCGGAGGTCGTCGCTGAGACCTTCAAGAAGTGTCTTCAGCACGGCACTTTTCCAAAAAAGTGGAAGAGGCAGAACCTCATTCTGCTGCCGAAAGGGAACAAAAGGCGACAGACGACCCATCAGGATTCAGGCCCATATGTCTCCTAGACACGGTAGGGAAAGTCCTCAAGATCGCCAAAGCGATCGAAATTCGCTGAGGCCAAAGTTACGCTCTCGGTCAGCCAGTACGGCTTCCCTAAGGAGGGCTCCACGGTGGACGCCATCAAAGCCGTGACCGACACGGCGGAAGCAGCCATCGTGGGAACTCGGTGGAAATGGGGAGAAAAGGAGTATTGCGCGATGGTAACACTAGACATCCGCAACGCAACATCAACTCGGCTAATTGGACACGCATCCAACGAGCCTTGTTCTTGGCAGGCACTCCTAGATACCTACAACTAATATTATCCGGCTACCTTTCAGATAGGATACTGCTGAACGACACGGACGAAGGACCAAAATCTTATGAGGCGACTGCGGGGGTGCCGCAAGAATCGGTCCTCGGGCCACTTCTTTGGATCATCATGTACGATGAAGTACTCAGGATCAAACTACCGACGGGATGTAAACTCATCGGCTTCGCTGACTACCTGGCGCTGCTCGTGCTGCCGAAGGATCCAAGGACGTGGAAAACAATGCGAGTGAAGCAATACGGAGAATTTCAACCTGGATGTCTGACTCTGGACTGGACCTAGCAGCACATAAAACTGAATCAGTTCTCTTCTGATTCAGAAGGGAAGAAGGTGGAGTACATTACCATCCAGGTGGGCAACTGCTTCATCACGTCAAAAAAGGCAAATTAAATACCTAGGGGTAATGCTGGACAACAGGATGTCCTACGGAGCGCACGTGGAGTACTCCACCATAAAAGCTGCAAGGATCCAAGGAGCACTCTCAGGGATGCTGCCAAACGTGGGAGGCCCAAAGGAAGGCAGGAGACGTCTTTTAGCCAGTGTCGTCACGTCGGTCTTGCTGTACGCAGCGCCGATATGGGCTGCGTCAGTCAGAAGACAACAGGGGCTTAAAAAAAAGCTAGGGGCATCGTACCGACTGGCGGCCCTACGCGTCATATCCGGCTTTAGAACCATATCCGAGGAAGTCGCCCCCGTTCTAGCCGGAATGATTCCAATTGATAAACTTGATACCGACTCCAATTGATACCGACTAGCGGCCCCGGATTTAGAACCATATCCGAGGAAGCCGCCCTCGTTCTAGCCGGAATGATTCCCATTGATATTCTGGCTAATAAAGCGGAGGAAATCTACGCATCCAATCGGCAACAGGGAAGGAATTCATCCCGAGAGGCCTTCAAGAGGTCAGCCCGACAAGCGGCATTATCCTCATGGCAGGAGACGTGGGATTCAACGGCCAAAGGTAGATGGACGCACAGGCTAATCACAAAAATCCAGGAGTGGATCGGAAGAAACAACGGTCAGGTTAGTTACCAGCTTACCCAGTTTCTTACAGGGGGTACAGAAAATACCTCCATAGATTCGGACACGACGAAAGTCCAGTGTGCCCCAACTGCCCAGGAGCATACGAGGACCCAGAGCACATTTTGTACAATTGTAGGAGATATCGTGCCATCGTCGGATAGCTACCAGATCCGGAGGAGCTTGTGGAATTCATGTATAGCTCACAGGAGCAATGGACTGGGTAAGCCCAATAGCTTATACACAGGGCGACTTAAGAGGACTTGAAAATGAACGTCGCTCAAGGGAGAATGCCTAAATTAGGCAACCCTTCATGACACTCTAGCCGCCGTATACTGCTCCCCACGCTTCACCATAGCCGAAGATGAGTTTATGCAGTTTTTCAACTCACGCGGAGACCACTTCATAGCAGCAGGAGACTACAATGCCAAGCACATACACTGGGGATCTCGTTACGTGACCCCAAAAGGAAAGCAGCTCTATAATGCAATCATCAAAGCTTAGAACAAGCTAGACTATGTTTCATCTGGCACTCCAACATACTGGCCGCCAGACCCAAAGAAACTTCCCGATTTAATAGACTTTGCGATTACCAAAAACATTCCTAAAAATCTGATAAGCGCCGAATGCCTTTCGGATCTTTCATCTGATCACTCGCCTGTCCTTTTTACTCTACTCCGACACCCAGGAACATTGAATCAATCATCAAAACTGACCTCACATAAAACCAACTGGGTTAAGTACAGGAAGTATTTTAGCTTACACATTGAGCTAATTCCTCACCTCAGCGACGGAGCCAACGTATACAGTTTTGTTAATTCACTGGAGTCTGTACTCGTCTCTGCAGCTCGAGTTTCAACACCTTCAAATATAAACACACAATGCATTCAAAAGAAGACAAATCTACAAATCGAACAGCTCGTCCTCGAAAAGCGACGCTTAAGTCGAGAATGGCAATTCCACAGATCGCAATCTGCCAAGCAAAGCTTTAAACATGCCTCACGTCAACTTGATCAAGCTCTACAGCAAGAAGAAACGTTTGTCCACGTTTGCTATGGAGAGCTCACCCAATTCTGAGCTCAGCGAAAGAAACCGTTATGCCTATTAGAAATTCCACAGGCAGGTGAGCGCGCAGCGACGCAGACAGAGCCAGCACGTTTGCCAAACACCTTAAAAATGTCTTCCAACCTAATCCTGCCACCAATACGTTTACTTGGCCTATTTTAACATATGACCCCCAGCCTCAACCAATTAAGCCAATTGAGTTTCGATCAAACGAAATCGTTAACATCATCAAAAGACAACTGAATTCGAAAAAATCCCGGGCTGCGACCTCATAACTCCCAAAATGATCATTGAGCTCCCATACTGCGCCGTTGCCCTCTCACCCAGCTCTTTAATGCCATCCCAAAACTTGGCCATTTTCCAGTGATATGGAAAAAGTCAATTATAATAATGATAGCAAAGCCGGGGAAAGACCACACGTCGTATAGACCTACAAGCCTACCGTCTTGCCTATCTAAACTCCAGGAAAAAATCCCGTCACATTGAGCAGGTCAACCGGATTACATTAGAAATTCGGAACTCGTTCGAAAAACGAGAGTACTGTACTGCCATATTTTTAGATGTCTCTCAAGCATTTGATAGAGTCTGGCTAAAAGGTCTAATGTACAAGATCTACACAATGCTCCCCTACAGCACCCACAATATTTTAGAATCTTACCTTTAAGACAGAAAATTTGTTGTGAGGTGCTACACTGCTATATCTGATGATTACACTGTTGGAGCTGGAGTTCCTCAAGGTAGCGTGCTGGGGCCAATATTATATGTCTATACAGCAGACATCCCGACAAGCACACGACTAACAACATCTACGTTTGCCGATGACACAGCTATTCTTAGCCGCACAAAATGCCCGATTCAAGCAACTGCAAAGCTAGCTCTACATATCGTCGATGTTGAAAAATGGCTATCAGATTGGCGAATTAAAGTGAACGAAGTAAAATGCAAGCACGTTACGTTTACTCTGAACAGGAACACTCTACTCCTACAAGCAAACGAAGTAACATACCTAGGAGTACATCTCGACAGAAGACTCACATGGCGCCGGCACATTGAAGCCAAAAGAACACACCTAAGGCTAAAAGCCAGCAGCCTTCATTGGCTTATCAATGCTCGGTCACCTCTTAGCCTTGAACATAAAGTCCTGTTGTACAACTCGGTACTAAAACCTATATGGATGTACGGCTCCCAGTTATAGGGGAACGCCAGCAATAGAAACATTGACATAGTTCAGAGAGTTCAGTCGAAGAACTTGAGAACAATCAGCGGGGCACCATGGTACGTTCGCAACGAAAACATACACCGCCACTTAAACATTTCACCAGTCAAAGAAGTGATCGCAGAACAGAAGGTAAAGTACTTAACCAAGCTCTCGGTGCACCCTAACCAACTGGCGAGAGGTCTAACAAAATTGAGCAACCAAGGTTGAGCAACGCCTTCGTCGCAATGACTTACCCACCCAGCGACCGATCTAAAGAACGCGCAACCAGAATGCAGTGTTAGTATACTGTTAGTTAAATTTGAATGTTAAGATTCGTCAACTTATTGTTAGTCTCAAAATTAAGAGTAGATTCAATAAATAAAAGCAAAGCAATTGTTAAGAGGAGCCCCAAATAAAGGGTCTTATTTCAATGAGTTCCTTTTGGAAACTGAATTTATTTTGTAAAGTTCTCTTATAAGTAGGATACCTCAAAATCTTAAATCTATTTAAAACTACTTATCAACGCACTGCACGCTGACATGCTATGCGACCCTTTCTCAAGAGCGATAAGCGCACCACTTATGTATGTGTTTGTGTTAGGCTGCAGGGGCTCGGTTTTAGACCATGCTGTTAGTCTCTTATTCCATGGGTCCGATCCCTTGAAACTCTAACTTAAGAATTTGTATATATAATAGGGTTCAATGGTTGAACAGCTTTAAAAAAACATTAATACAGATACATTAATCCTAAATAAGACAAGATAAATTTTATAAAAAAAAGGGTTGAATTTGGAAAAAATTTAATTCAACCTTGCGAGCCCTCTGGGTCGGAAATTTTAAAATCGGTTTTAAATATCGCGATTGGGAATTTTTATGCGCACAAAAGTTCCGGTTCCGGTTTTTGTTTTTTTATAAATCAATTTTTTTAGGGGTTACAAATATTGTGTTATATGTGTTTTGTGTTATATTCGACCAGATAAACAATTTTTTTTTAAATATATTATTTTTAGAGCATCAAATGTCTCGACGTTTTTTTCTCAAAAATAAGGGTTTTTGATTTTCAAGTGCCTTAAAAAATTAAACAAAAATAGAAACTCGACAATGTTACTCAAGAATTTAGTAGATAAATACTGTGCAAAATTTCAAAACGATCCGTTCAATAGATTTTGCAGGATCGTTAATACCGAAAATTTTGTTTTCTTTGAGGTGCCGCCGGAGATTTTATTTCACTCAATTTTTTATATTTTGGATGTTGCCCTATCGCATGCCAAAAAAAAAATTGATCTGAGACTATCAGTATCTGTATCTTGCACCAAATTAACTATAATTTCTTGTACTTCACTATTCAGTGACAATCGGCCAAAAACAATTTTTTTTTTTAGACGTTGCTATTATTTCTTTAATCTTTTCTTAATGGTCTGTATCATGACGAAATTGTGTGGTCTTTTCCAGGCTTCGGTAATTGGGAAATAACCAAGATTAATGATTCCATTAAATAGTTTGCAGACGACCTCTATAGCGCATTTTGGAAGTTCGATCAGCTTCTTGGCGTCAGTAGGTCACCAAGGGAGCCTTTTTTGGTCTTAGCCCTCTTATGACTTTTTCGATTTCGTTCGGCCGGAATAAAGGTGTAGTTGGCTGAGGGGTAGCCTCTAGCTGAACTACTGGCAGGAGGAATGAATTTGAGGCTGGGTTTGGCTGGAAGACACTTTGGAGATGTGTAGCGAATATTTCAGCTCGGTCTTCGTCGCTGCGAGCCCAGCATCCCGAAGAGTTTCTAATCGGGGTGGTCGTTTCACTTGGGGCGCTAAGTATTGGGTGGGCCCTCCACAAGAGGTACTTTGTGCTTGTTGGCGAAATGGATGTACTGGATGTACCTCAGATGTGCATTTTCTTGCTGTTGGTGAAGAGCCTGGTCGAGCGATCATGTTGCTTCCTTTAGACGTTGCTTTGAAGCTGGGGATCTGTTGTTTTGCCAATTACGACGCGTGCGTCAATTTTCTCGCTGTTCTCGAGCTGTTCAATTTGCTGATTAGATTTGTAGTATTTGTTCGGTCTACTTCCTTACCATGAGGAGTAGAGATTTCGTTCAGGGCGCTCGTAATGTAGTCGATGTCCGATTCCATGTAAAGCTCCGGGGCTAGCCAGTTCGTTTTTGGCGACGTAAGGCTGAAGGAGTGTTTGGTTATTTCTGGGCTTTGAAGAAGCGTTAAAAGCACAAGCTGTCGGAGTGGTCTGATGATAAGAACGAGACTGCGTTGGCACTTATTAGATTGCCAGGTATGTTTTTTGTCACCGCAAAATCAATAAGGTATGGGAGCTTGCGTGAGTCGGTTGACCAGTATGTGGGACTGTGGCTTTTTGTCTTTATTTAGAATGTTAATAACATTCTTGGCGGCGAAGCCCTTTTTTTTATGGGCGGTTTTTATTTCCGCGGCGGTAAAATCGCGTTCGATTCCCTTCCTACATCCATTTGTAGGTAGGGACCGTAAATAATGATTATTGTCGCTATTTTTAAATTAATACAAATTGTAGGCCCTTGTTGCTTTTTAGCTATTACGTGTAACATTTTTTCTGAGCATTTGGACACGATTCGGAAGTGCTCGGGAGTCTTGGTCTAAACTTTTGATTCATGGTTGTTCCCTTTGATAAGCGGAACAACATAAAAGTTGTCACTGTTCAACGATCAACGGTTGACCATGGCACTCGAACTTTTCTCCCTGATATAGATTGAAGGGGCTTTGGTTTTTTTGCTGTGTCTTGCGCTGGTTGGTTTTCCTCAACCTCCGCCAGTAGGGCAAATCCATATCCTTGAGAGACAATTTTACTTCCAGAATGCCACGTAAGCGTTTTGCCTGTTCAATTTGAACGTAACGTGGATTTTTGTTTGTTTACTTTAATTTGCTAATCTGACAACCATTTTTCAACGTCGACCAGATAAAGAGCTAGTTGCGCATTTGGGTGAATCGGCATAGCTGTATCAACACCAAACGTAGATGTTGTGAGTCATGTGCTTGTCGGGATGTCCGCTGTGTAGAGGACATATAATGTTGCTAGGGCCAACCTTGATAAACTCCATCTTCAATAGTGAAATCATCAGAAATAGCAGTGTTGCACCTCACAGCAAATTTTCTGTCGTAAAGGTAAGACTCTAAGCGCATGTGGGTGGCAGAATTTGCTTGGAACAATTTTTTAAGGTGTTTGGCTCATCGGCTGCATCGCTGTGCGCTCATGATTTTTTATAGGCATCACGGTTTCTTTCGGTAAGCTCAGAGTTAGGTGAGCTCTCCATATTGAGTGTTTTGTGCTATAAGTTAACAATTTCTGTAAGTAGCGGCGCTGGACATATGCTTCTTTTTGCCATACAGCTTTAGTAAGCTGGGGTGAGGCACTATTTTAGTGCATGTATTGAGCTATGCTGAGCAGATTGCGATCTGTGGAATTTCCACTCTCGACGTAAGCGTCGCTTTTCAAGGACGAGCTGTTCGATTTGTAGATTTATCTTCTTTTGGTTGCATTGTGTATTTATAGTTTAGGGTTTTAAAGTTCGAGATGCAGAGACGAGTACAGACACCAGTGAATTAACAAAGCTATCTACGTTGGCTTCATCGTTGAGGTGAGAACTTAATGTGTGAGCTAATATACTTTCCGTACTTAAGGGGTTTTATACCTTTTTTATTTTCAAAATACCGAAAATTTTTTTATTGCTTTACAGCGCTCCTAACCGCGCGCCTCGTCGCGGCCTTGAACTGAACTTGAAACCTTAAACGCGAATATCTCGAAATGGTGTTTCTTGAAAAATGACTTTGCGGTGACATGGATTGGCGGAAAATGTTCGTAATGAAA